AACATTTTTTCTTTACATCTAATAAAACATTTATGATTTGTGACTTCTTCTAAAGACAATCAAGGATTTTATTCAATTAGCCTGAAGTAGAACGAATAAGGAAAAATCATTAGGTAATATATTTTAAAAGATGTTAGAAAAATGACCACCCCAGAAGTTCAGATAAATTCAAACTTTGCTTTCTGCCTATAGCTAGAAGTGTCCAGTTTTGTTTTTTAGTTGTAACTGAAAGCCCTGGTATCCAGTTTGTTTATTTTTATTGTCTTCATACTTTTGTCTATCCAGCCATAATTATTATAATGTTACAAGATTGGTTAGAATAAGGAAGTTAGGATTCCTGAATAGTGTAAACATGAAAAAGATCCCATTGTAACTGATTTAAGTACATGACAAAGTCATCTTGGTCTACTTCAGTCGGTCAATGCAACTAAGCTAGTTGTCCTTGTTTATGCTCCCTTTCATTGTACTCAAGGGTTGGAAAACGTTCATATGTAGATCTTTGGAGCAAACTATATTATCTTTGAGCGCGTAAACTTCCAGGTAAACGACTCGCTCATGGATCAATGCCTTTCAACTTCTGGAAGTTTTAAACTATTATTATTATTCGTTTGAGTTCCGAGAGGAACATAAGGTTTCAACAGTACACGTGCATTTTTACCTTAACTCTCCAGTCAGCTTTGGCAGGCCTCACTTTTGTCCATTAGCTTTCATCTCCCTCTCTCACAGTCTCCACCATCTTACCTTGAAGCAGCGCCCAACTCATCATTCTCTGTTCTGGTCCCACTTGAGGGTCATTTTGGTGATGTCACCCGATGGATTCCATAACATGTGTCTCCACTTTATGCTACATATTTGCTGAGCAATTGGTTCGTTCTAACAATTTCTTCTTAATAACACTTTCTGGACATTTGATCTCAAGTACGCAATGAAGGCAGCTATTGTAAAAAATTCGAAGTCTGTTGGGTATGGTATTCGTGACTAGCTGAATTTCTGAGCTATATGGAAGAGGTGATTTGAAATATATGCTGGAAACCAGAATTTTGTCTATATTGAGTACAGAGACTTTCGAAAGCGACTTCAGAGTGATGAAGATTTGCCTTGCCCTTCCGATTCAGTTTTCGACACTCTCATTCATGCCTCTGCGTGTACTTGAAACGATGCTTTCTAGATAATGGAAGAAAGCAAACTCAATTATATTTCTCATATTGATAGTGAGTGGTGATTGTTGTTGTTGGTTGGTTATCTTCACTACCCCTGTCTTCTCTATGTTCACTTGGAGTCGTTTTTTCGCTGCTTCTTCTACCAACTTGTTGGTAGGTTTATGAGGTTGTGTGACATTAAAATATTTCTTGTTTAATTACTAGGGTGCCACAAGCAACAAAACTAGCTTCGTAGTGTAGTGTTCCAACGATCCTTTTGCACCTTCTTAATACCATTTCATCTATCAGATTTTATTTGAAAAGGCATTTAGTCATTTTAGTCATTATTGGTAGAGAAATAAGACCTACTGGTGTATTAACATACATTATAGCTGTACACTTTCCACTTCAGTGTCTTTGGTGTTTGAAGTTCCATCATGAACCATCGAGAATCAGAGTGTGCTCGACATATGATTCGTTTTAATTTATGACTCGCCAGCAGTATTTGCTAGAACATAACACCTTCAGGAAAAGATACAAGTCCATTGGACATCCATCCAATGGGCCGGAATCCAACCACCCATGAATTCTAACTTCTGCCATTTAGCAATGCAGAGAAACAGTCTATCCAGCTTGATGGACATCTGTGGCCATGACCTCTCACTAGGACCTCAGGAAACTTCGTTTTCATATTCAGTAACTAGTGAGTAGTGGTTTTTATATTTCTTTTAGTTGGGTTTTTTGAAATCTGAATCAATATGAATTGAGCAGGAGGCGAAGTTGGGCACTATAGTAAGAAAAAGAATAAATATTTGAGGCAAATAATCATAGGGGAAGCAAATAAAACCTGAAAATCAAAGTTGGTGTATTTCTAAAATGTCAAATTTTCTTGTCCTCAGATTATTTCATAAATACCATCGCTTTAAATAAATAATTACTATCATAGTTTTCGTGACTATTAGCAATTAAACTTAAGTAGAAAGCATTCACCTTCGAGGATTTAGATTGTTGCAGTGACATGTTCATATATGTAACAAAATCAATCATCATCAATTATCGACATATTTATAAGGCTTTGCAAACACAACTTACCTGCTGAAGTAAGTTTTCAAGTTTGACCAGAGATTGATATCATTTGGAGAACCTTTGAAAACTACTTAGTACTGGACAGCTGCTTTGTCCTAATTAAGGACATCGGTGGCACAGCTGTAGGATGCTCGTCAACCACGCAGATAATTCGGAGTTCGAGCCCCGGCTGCTGCACTCCGTTACCGCGCTAGTCCAGTAATAAAACTGGTTAAAAGGAGAAGATGGCAATGAGGCTACTAAGCCTATTCCGTAAAAATAAAATACCACTGCTACCGAAACTTCAAGTCTCTAGCCTGAAGTCCTATTTTACACTGGGAACGTAAAAGGAATAAAAATAGACGGGACAACCATTTTATCCTAGTTTGGGAACCCCTAGCGGTACATACCCGACCCCAGGGTTCGAAACTGGGGTCAGTCGTCAAGTAGACAGAGTAAACTATGAATTGAAAATCGAATTCACAGTTCTAGATGTTTATTTTACCATGATTTCCATTGAAAACCCGAGACGATTCAGATCCAAATATGTGATTTGATAGATACCATAAACAGTAAACAAGAAACCAAACATAAATGCACGCCTAGATATACTACTGATTAGTAGGAATTAGCAGTATTCTCCTGCCCAGTAGTGTCTGCTAGCTAACCAGATCGAGACAGTCTAAACACAGCCCAATAGATTCGTTCATTTGGGATCTTGATCATCAAAAATGTACTCGGTTTGACTCAGCTCAGAGAACCGATTCATTTCATACCACCTAATTTGCGGCTTGCTACTTGAGAAAACTGGTTTTTCCTGTCAAGAAGAACATACGTTGTGGTCCAGATGAACTTGGTTTTCAAAGGATACTATGGTGAAATAATTATCCCGAACTGTGTAAATTACAAAATACTTTGGGAAATTTTGGAGTGAATTACAAAGTGCCAATTCTAATTGTTGTATCATCAGTTTACCCATTGAACTAGCGTGAAATCAAGTGGTTTGCGCTTATTTGGTTCTTTGAGGTGAGTCAAACTGGGTGCACTGATGATGCATGCAATCAAAAAAGAACGCAACGTCCTTCAGGTGGTTAGATCGCTTCAGTCTGGCTAGCAAGAAATTCACATTGCCGTTGAAAATGCGAATCTTTTCCTTATGCTGAGTGACAGTGGAAGATTTCCAAATTGCTTTCAGGTTGATGAACGCCTATCTCGCCTTTTCAAATCTGACAGGCGTTGACATCTTTATCCATTTCGTCTGTAGTTGAAACTATGCTTCCCAGATAAGTAAAGGAGGCAACCTCTGTTAAACATTTCCGGTTGATGGTGATTGGTACTGGTTGTCTTTGTTGTTGATTGGTTTATTTCATCACTTCCTTTTTCACTGTGTTCACCTGAAATCCTTTTTTCACTGCTTCTTTAGCTAGTTTGCTGGTTTTCGCTTGCAAGTCTTCGAGTTTGTGTGACGTTAGACATATATCATCTGCGAAATTCTGATCTTCTAGAGTCTTTTTATCGGTGGTGCAGCGTATTTCTGAATACCGATAAGAATACTCCAGAAGATCTGGATTTCGCAGATGATATGTGTCTAATGTCGATATTGGTAATATTTTTAATGAACTGTAGAAAACGAAGGATGCCTAATTTCAATATGCAAACCTCTTGTACACGATGTTTAAATGAAATAATAATGATCACCGATATATCATCTGATCGTAGTATTCTCCAGTGTGAAATACGGTTTATTCACCGACACTTTGTCACTTCCTTGTTTTTTCTTTGACAGGAGTGAATATAATTTGGCCAGAAGCTTCTTTTTTTAAAATAAGGACCAGAAATTGATGAATGAAATGACAATATGAAATACATTTATAATCACATTCGTAATATTAAATAGGTATCCCAGATACTTAAACACACCGCCATCAAACATTTGAAATGATAACGAATACGCACAAACAAGTATGTTTCGTATGATAAAAGAGTGAATCGTTGGCCTAATTGTGTGTTTTATTTAGTGTGGTGCTCCTGAAACATTTATTTCACTATAACTTTTCCTCTTGCGGCAAGAAAAGTAGATGGAAACAACCAGAAATAAGGAGATCGACAGAGTAGTTACAAATCAAATACGGTTTATAAATAATTCCCCTACGTGAGATTGAAGAAAAAAGAAAATTTCTCTCTTGAATTTCCTAGCTGAACTTTAAATGAAATAACAGAGAAAACATTCACTAATGTCTTCACCTGCCTAGATTACTCATCGAATCATGAATACAGATCGTAGTTCATTGATAATATTAACTTGCTTACGTGTAGATATTACTTTCCTGAAGTGTTTCACTCGGCATTAGAACCTGAGACAATTACCTATTAAACACATATTGTCTTAAGCATTAAAAGAAAAGAAGATTAACTGTATAGTTTGATGAGGCGATCAAGTGTGTTATTAAGAAGGTAATTCAACTGTAAAATAAATTAAATTAGCTGAATATTTTACATTTGCGTTACCACCTTAATTTTTTTATTAAAATCAGATTAACAGGAATATTTATGATCTGGCTAGGCTATGAAACTCTCAGTCAACAAATAATTAATTTCCAAATAAATCTCGCCTAATCCACTTGAAGTGTTATTTTGAAGATTGCGATAAAAGGATTTCTTTTTTAAATGAACGAATTTCGAGTTATTACAAATCTTACTTAATACGATTTAATTGGCTTTGACTGGCATGCCACTTAGAGGAAAAAACGGGAGTATAAAACAACCCAAATGTAGAGGAAACGATGAATCACGAAAATGCCCTGTAATAGTATGGTCAAAGACGGTGTAACAGCACTATTATTATTATTACTAGTGATTTTTGAAATTCATTATTCATCAAGCCTACCAACATTTGATGCTGAATGCGGCTCTGATCCAATTTTATTCAAACCAAATGGAAACATTTATTCACATACTGATTACGAAAAAAATATAACCTATAATGGATTCCTTCAGTGTTTCTGGATAATAAACACTGATCCAAAAAGTCGAATAATTGTACAGTCAGTTGATTTCGATTTAGCAGGGAATTCCACACAATGTGATGAAGATAGTCTAGTGGTTTACGAGCCTGATTATAAAAATGTGAGTAAGAATACCTCTGATATTGACATATTTACGAAAAACGTTGGCAAAAGTGCTTACTGTGGATCAACACCAATAAAAATATTGTCTGGTTCCAATCGACTGCTGTTGATTTTCAAAGCTCGATCTATTGGAAAGCATAAAGGGTTTAACCTACGTTATGCAGCTATACCCGATAATTTTGCCAAGCGATTGAAGTCTACACTGAACTCTACGACTAATAACAGAACGTGTGATAAATCACTTGAATGGGAATGTCCGTCATCACAGTGTATTTTAAAAAGATGGAGATGTGATGGATTCGATGACTGCTTAAACTCTGAAGATGAAATGAACTGTTTCCCTCTACCAAAACAGTTGCTTAAATTAAAACACAGAGGGAAAAGATCAGTCAATGACGAAGATGACTGGGGTCGTGTTGTCAATGGTCAACAAGCTGCTAAAGGAGCATGGTCATTTATCGCTTCATTGCGTTACGCTGCCAATGGTAGACACTTATGCGGAGGTAGTCTAATCAGTACACAATGGGTTCTGACAGCTGCACACTGTTTACAAACATTCCCGCATCCAAAACTATGGTATGTAGACCTGGGAAGATACTATAAAAACATTGGTGGTCCTGAAGTCCAAAGAATCAAAGTTGATCAGATATACATTCATCCATCTTTCAATCCAATCACTTATGAGAATGATATAGCTCTTTTACGACTAGCAACCCCAGCAATTCTAGTCAAAGGGCAGGTCAGTTTATCACCAGTTGTACGAAATTCACTCTTAGCCGGACAACTTAAAGCAAATGTTCAGTGTATAGTAGCTGGTTGGGGAGACACACGGAATACAGGTTCAAGTGATGTTCTAAGACAGGCTATTCTTCCAGTGATTGATTACAGCCTATGCAAATCATGGTTTCCGTATCTTAATGAAAAAAGTTTCTGTGCTGGTTATCAACAAGGAGGTATTGATGCATGCAATGGTGATAGTGGTGGACCACTTTTATGTTACATTGGCGGACAAACTGTGCAGGCTGGAATTGTGTCTTGGGGCAGTGATTGTGCTCAACCATTTAAACCAGGTGTGTATACAAATGTAGCTTTATATGTGGACTGGTTTAAAAATGTTTTATAGGACTTTTAAAGTAAAAAATAAATTTGTTTTTTCTAAAGTGAATATGTTTAGTTTACATTTTTCATCTTCTAAATACATTTTGGTATATATTTTTTTTTGAAAAATGATCCTTTTATTATTCGAAGAAGAAAACAGCTTGTTCATAATTGTTCATAATGTCGAAGCACAGTTCACATTAGCACTGAGTAACGGCGATTTACCTGTTCGTATTAAGTAAGGCCAAAAAAGCATCTAACTCACTGTGCATAATGCGCCTGCGTTTTGATGGTTTAGGGAAAAAACGGTATATCTGACGCGAGTTGTAAGCTTTCATTTAGCAGGAAAACAGAAGCGCTGGATTTTCAATAGATCATTCATCTGGCTGTACAATTATAAATCCATTAATTTTAGCATACAATAGAATTACAAAGCGTATTGTGGTACTAGTACAAGATGGGATAATACTAGTTGATGAGATCTGATTATCGTTTAAATTCATAAAAAGTATGTATGGCCAATAAGAACATGGGTGAAACTGAACTGAAATAATTCACTGATTTGTTTCTGTTCATGTACTCAACAAAAAGCACAGGTTTCAAGGACGAGTGATGTCATTGGTGTGTGAGAAGGTGTGAATACTGTAGAGAAATAAATACAGACAAATGGGATATGACAGACGTGACCTCAGGGGTCACAAATGGCAATAATAATTATGGTAAAGTAATAACAATGGTATGTTGTAAACGAAGAGTACTATTAGTGAACGACTAACAGGTAATAAACAATTTAATGAACTAGAATGAACAGGATGGTGTTAATACAGTAATAAGTCTAAAAAGCATGACTTTAACCAGGGACAATAGACATAATAAGGATCTGAAATAAAAGTTTTTCTATAAAACAAGGGGGGAAATGGGATTGGATTTTAAAGTGCTAATTACTAATGTTTATATTGGATTTTCTTTTTTCGTTCACATTCCCCAGTGGAACATAGGGCTTCAAGCTAGTCAAGTTTCTTTAGCAGTGTTTATTTTACGGGATGGGTTTGCTAGCCTCATGCCCAAACTTTCCTCTTCATCAGCTTTATCTCTGTTTTAGCAAGGTAAAGGAGTGCTTCGCTCGGGGATCGAACCCCGGACCATGTGCATGGTCGGCGAGCGTCCTAACCGCTATACCACCGACGCTTATACTAGAATCATTAACTTTATTGTAGGCCAGGGTTGTGCGTTTGTGGCACAGTGGTAGAATATTCGCAACCACGAAGGTGGTGAAGCTAATAGTTGTAGGGTTAAATGCCAACCTGATCTGCAGACTAACTTTCGTCATAGGTCATACAAATGACTGAGCCGCTGTTGCTCTTCTTACATTTGAAGTTAGCACACATTGTTTCGAAAGTTAACTTCCCGGATTTTTTACGCCTGTAGTAAGCAATAGCTAATTCATACGCAGTGAACTTCAGGTGTTACTGCTTTAAATTTGTGAATTTCTTATTGTCCGTTCTACAAGAAGAAACGATACACTAAGCAATTCTCAAATTCTTATCATTAATCACTCAAATTAATTGCATAAACAGTAGATGACTGTTAATGGATTTAATGTTCATATGGGTAATGAACGAAATATTCGCATATCGAGTCATAAGAAACAGACATAAGCAGCGAAGAAAATTTTCTTTTCGATGATTCATTCTGTACAATCGCAATTATATCTAACAAAGAATTCATAAGACAAATCATATACTGGTAATATTTGTCCTCGAAAACGTAGTGTAAGGTGTAACCTACAAGGGGTGACCAATTGAAGATTGAAAAACAGGGGGCAGAAGTTGGCATGATGTAATAGGTATGAGAAAATGATTGATCAGAATAATTGCGTAGAATGGACAGGAACTAGTGGGAAGACGACAAAATGTTTTTATAAGATCTGTACGGAAATGCAGTGTTATTAATAAACAGTAGTAGAATGCTTACAAAATGTGGATGATGAGAATAATAATAACAGCGATAATAATAATTAAAGTAAGAACGTTACTGTGGCCACGGTAGAATGATTGAATGTATCTAGTGCTTTGAATGCAGAGCTCCAATATCCGGTCCCAAATTGTCAGTGATTCAGTTACATACAGATGGAGTATGCGAAGTCTTTTCATACAATATTGAGGAACTTTGCGCCGCATTGTGCAGCATTCATGTTGGGGTGCTCGATGTTCGGAATTGACAAGGTGTTCGACGATAGAGCTGCTAGTATTCTTATTTCCTACTCTGGCTAGCCACACGAACAAGTAAACTGACAAATATACACTGATGTGGCCAAAAGCAGTATTTCCTCCTCGACGTTTTATTCTATTCCTTTACATTCCCGGGGGAACATAGGGCTTCAAGCCAGTAGCTTAAAGTCTCGATAGCAAAAAAGTTTATTTTCACGGGATGGAGTTGTTAGCCTCATTCCCAAACTTTTGTCTTTACCATTCTTATTACTGGCTTAGTGTAGTAAGGGAGTGTGTCTGTCAGTGATCTAACTGTGAACCACACGCGTTGTTGGCGAGCATTCTGCCGCTATGCCACTGACACACTGATGCATAAAGATAGTCTGGATTAATTATCGGCTGAAGAATGTGATACGTAAGGTAGCTGCTTGAAATATCTTCTTCAGACATTTAGAAAGACAGATTCACATTGGTAACGTAGTCACTCAGTGTGATGATGTTGCATTTATTTTATTTTAATCTAAATTAAAAGGAAACTTGTGTTCAGCATCCAATTAAAACCAGAATGTGTATTTCATCCTACTTCGGATAAACTCCTTGGAGTTTGAAACGCAGGGTGCTAGATTTGATTGATGGTTGAAACACCATGATTCAGTGAGGATGAAGGTACATCCAGTTGACAAATTCCAAACAGAATGAAATCTGCTTCCTGGATATCACTGCCAGTCATTGTCACTGTAAATAACATCACTGATTTCTGTTTGTTACTTGATTTCCTAAATTGATTTATCATCTGGAAAATAACGTATATCGAATATATTTTTGGTGCCTGTTTAGGCTGGAAACATGAAAATCTATTTTCTTTTCATATATGTTAATTTTTGAATTCAGTGTTAACACTTTCAAAAACACGAGACTGAAAACACATGAACACATTAAGCGAATTCACTTCGTTCTACAATTTTTGCCATCCAGATCACAAGCAGAATTAGTGGACATCATCATTTTTGTTTTTCAACATCATTTCAGATAACATGACCGCTAAACTTTAAAACACATTTAGTAACTTAAAGAATATGTTTTAGATAATAAACATGTCAACTGTAAGAATGCAGTAATAGTATTCCATGCATCTGAGAAAAAATCATACTACCAGTGATCTTCCTCGTCTAGCAGTTTATTCTTTGTCAATGAATATTACATTATTTCTTTATTTCTTAACGTTCTCAGTGGAACATAGGACTTTAAGCTAGCTCAATTCTATCAGTCTGCACCGAAGATAGGACTAGACGCATTACACTAGTTACTGACTAGTGTGCAATCAAAAATATCCAATACAGTCCTACAGAAGGTCAGTCGCGAGCCTGAATAGCTCAGTGGTAAGGTCTCTGACTGCAGCACTGGGTGACGCGGGTTCGAATCTCAGAAGGGACATCAGTTCCTTCAAGGTTGCAGATACGCCTTGCTGATGAGTGCCAACTAGCACGAAACCTAGGTCCAAGGCTTCCTGCCGATTGCCTCCAACCATCTAATACCAACGATGTTATATATTCATTTCACCTAGGTAACGCGAATCCGTTTGACAGAACAATAAACGGCGAAGTTTAAATATCATAACCAAAGCCAAGGTCTTTCAAAATTTGACCTACAAGAGCCAATCAGATGCAGAGAATGCTGCGAATTGTCATTCCGAATAAAATCATGCCTGTCTTTCTGAAAGTGGAGAAGGCAGTTGCAGTATTTCACCTATTCTCTAGGTACTCTTTCTGTAAATGTATCCTGTTAGGTGGGGTTATAGATTTTTAGATTAGGCTTCAGGGTTAAGGTTAGTATGAGGGTTAGAGTTAGAAGTAGGTCAAAGAACAGTATCAGAAATATCAACAGATCTCAGAGTGCCATGACCTACAGTCACCTGGATGAATGCACCTATCGTGCATGGTATGATTTCTATGAAGATCATCTGTGTAGTGACTGGGAGAAATTCTTACAACACATAAGTGTCAACTATATAGTATAATATCATGTTAGCAATGTTTTTTGGTGCATTTTTCAACGATTATCCAACTTTACTGCATTTGAATTTTGATTGGTCTTTCAAGGTCATTGCAGTTTCGGCTGTGATAGTTTAACTTTACCCATTAAACTATTTGAGATTAGTTAGAAAGTTGACTGAAATGTCAGTCACATATGTAGAAGAAGCCAGATTAAAAGAAAGACCTACATCATATCTAAATCTCATCTGACAAACGAAGAGGATAATGAATGCGTTTGTGATTGTTAACTAGCCTAAAATGTGAATAATAATTGTCACAGTGACGTCTGGTAAGTGTACACTATTCTAAATAAGTCTTACATCAAAATAATATAGTTTACATTTAATTGTGAAATTTTTCAGTCTCATATCTGTCACCTTCAGCATGTCTTTCAGATTGTGAATTATTTTTACTGAAATATGTTTACAGTTCATTTTAGGGTGTCTAGTGAACAGCGGTATGAATTGTATAAAACAAGGGCTAGAAAAGGATAGTACTCATTTGATGGGATCACGATTAGTATAATGATGCAAATTTGTAGCTCATGTGGATTATTTTAGCGCAGTTGTATTCTCAGAGCTGCATGGTTTAGTTGCGAAGCTTTCACTTTCATACTAGACAGCATTCTCAGTGTATACTGTTTATTGACTTGGAAAATATGAGAATGTAAAACAACTTTACGACAAATTAATTTTTCGTTGTTGTAGTCTAATGCTTGTAAGAAAAGAATATTTAAGAGAGATAGTCAGGAATCTGTTACCGAAACCCATACAGATGTTCAA